CAGTTACAGCAAGACACATTTCTTGCATGATACTAGTGTGTCACTTGTAAGAAGATTCTGGAATCTGAAACAAAAAGAAAAAAGAAACTACAGGGAAGTATTAAATTTTCTGTTTTGTTCTATAGAGATCAGATAATTATAGTTTGTAAAATGAACTGATGGTATCCAGATTAAAAAGAGCAACGAAATGAATTGTTACATGCAGAGTAGCCGGCCCTCTCTGTACTGACTGAGCTTCCCTCAACCACCGAGTAGCCTTCTCAGGCACATTTCAAATATTATTCTGAAAGCTGATCCTTTGGAGGGAAGGGAAACGAAAAGGAAAGGGAAAGAAAGAAAACATTTTCAGGGTATGATGGTGCCAACTGTAATCCTGGTACTTGGGAGGCAGAGGCAGGGGGATTGCAGTGAGAGCCTGGGCTACATAGCAAGACTTCATGTCACAACTACTTTGTTTTTCAAATTGATCTATATTAGTAAAGTAAGTTAGCAGATGCTGCCGAGTCTCCCTACCTGAGATCCCTGCATGGTCTTCGTGTGTCAGTAGATGGAGGCCAGAGGTCGACAGCAGACTCCTCTTCTTTGCACTTCACTTTAAGGATTTATTTGTTTTTATATGTCTGGGTGTCTGGTCTATATACCACGTGCACGCAATGCCTATAAAGGCCAGAGGAGGGTGAAGTAGGTGCCTGCTGCAGTGCCTGTCTGGGAGTTGGGCATTGAACTTGGGTTCTCATATTGGCGTGACAGGTACCTTACCAACTGAGCCATCTCCCCAGCCATGTGTTTTTCCTCACAACAAGGGAATTTTTTTTCCCTCATATGGAAGTTAAGGGCTGATGGGAGATACAGTAGAGCAGGTCAAAATTCCTTTAAGTGTAGGCAGCTATGAATGCAGGGCAGGATTTAAGAAGAAAATAGTGGGTCCTGATACAATTCTAGCTTTGTAATCCATTAGATGGATTTCTTGTTTGTTTGTTTGTTTTGTTCTGTTTTTCGAGACAGGGTTTCTCTTGTAGCCCTGGCTGTCCTGGAACTCACTCTGTAGACCAGGCTGGCCTCAAACTCATAGAGATCTGCCTGCCTCTGCCTCCTGAGTGCTGGGATTACAGGCCTACACCACCACTTTCTGACACCTTTAAGTGGATTTTTATGTCACTTTTAAAATACTGTGTTTTTAAGGTAATTATAGAACATAGGAAGTTGTGAAATACTGAAGATTTATGGGAAGTTGTAAAACCTGTACAGAGAAATACCCCATACCTTTCCCTTGCTTTGTGTGTGTAGTTGCATCTTGATGATGATGGCACTGTACCGAAACAGGAAAGTGCTATTTGTGCCATGCATGTCCGTGTAGCTCCATGATGTTTTGTTGTGCACGCAGACTTGTACTAACTTACAGACCAGGAAGGAACAGCTCTTCATGTTGGGGCTCCCCTCCTGCTGTCCCTTTCCAGTCACAACTATCTCCCTCCTGCCAGCATCCGCCCTCCTCGACTGCTCCCTCCTCTTATGGACTCTCTGGCCTCTTCTCCTGACTCTTGACTCTTCCTAAGATGCCAGGGTTACTCTACTATTAATCGGGGTTTCCAATTACATTATTTTTCCTATGGTGGTTGCTTGTTTGAAGATCTTATATCTTCTGTTTTTCTTTATTGGTGCTGAGAAAGGAACCCAGGATCCATGCATAAGCTCTACCACCAAGCTGTATCCACAGCTGTTCCCTTTCTCTTTATTTTCTACCTCCTTTTCTGTCTTTTTTTTTTTTTTTTTTTTAAATTACATTTTTGGGGCTGTCGAGATGGCTCAAGGGTTAAGAGTGCTGCCTGCTCTTCCAGAGGTCCGGAGTTCAATTCCCAGCAACCACATGGTGGCTCTCAACCATCTGTAATGACATCTAGTACCCTCTTCTGCCAGGCAGGCATATATGCAGACATACATAATAAATAAATAAATCTTTTTGAAGAATTACTTTGTGTATGTGTACAGGCGCGCGTGCGCAGGTGTACACTTAGGTGTGTGCATTCCACCTCCCAGTTTTACCTGCTAAGGGCATTCTCGCTCCCACTTTGTCTCCAGGGTCCTTTTTATGGATGCCTTGCTTTGCCCGCCCTCCCCCCCATATCTGTGTGCTGAGCCATAGGCAGATCAAGTTCTTGGCCATTTTTTTTTTCTTTTTTGAATTGCTGTTTTCCTAATATTTAGATGTTACCACATGGATTCTTATTCTTAGTTAATGTCAAATTATCTGTCCGTCCATCCGTCCATCCGTCCATCCATCCATCCATCCATCCATCCATCTCTATGTAGAAAAGGTATTTATTAGAGTGGCTTATAGGCTGTCGTCCAGCTAATCCAACAATGGTGTCTACCAATGGAAAGTTCAAGCATCCTGTAATTGTTCTGTCCACGAAACTGGATGTCTCAGCTGGTTTTCAGTGTGTCAGAATCCCAAAAGAAATAGGCATTAATGCAAGTCAAGGAATGTACTAGCCATTGAGAGTGAGGACAAGCAAAAGCTTCCTTTTTCCATGCTCTTTACATAGGCTGCCAGCGGAAGGGTGGCCCAGATTATAAAGTGGGTCTTCCCACCTCAAAGGATTTGGATTAAAAGTGCATCTTTCCATGCCAAATGATTTAATTGAGAATAATCCCTCATAGGTGTTGCTTAGGCTTTAGTTAATTACAGATGTAGTCAAGTTGACACCAAGAACAGCCATCACAGGTCCACTCCTTGTCTGCTTGACACAATCACATCTTATATCATGCTTAATTTCCAAATAAAAATAATAATCAGGTAACAATTACACCTAACATGATATAGCTATCCTACATACAACTGCAAATGTATTATACATTTTAGATTAGGTGCCAATGCCCCTTGAGGGACATTTCTTTTAGTATCTCAAATACAAATCCATTGATACTCCCCTAATTGATGTTATACTATATGATAAAGAAATAAAGGAAAAATATACAAATATCTTCACAAACACAGTCTTAACAAGCTATAATAGGTGTAATAACTTTTCTCATCTAAGAGTACTGATGACATCTTTTTCTTTCTTAGCTTTCTTTTGCTGTCTGCCCAAAGGGTGCTTTTCCTGTCTTCATGTGGGTTCTTTCTTTGATGGCTTTTGCTGTATGGTAGAACTCCCTCCGATGGACTTGAAATCTATGAATACAAACTCTCCTTTAAATTCAAGGAATTCAGTTCTATTAGCATATACCTGTTAGAATATTTTTAGAAGGTAGTATACATGAGCCATGTGTATGTGCTTCATTAGCATTCAGCAAGACATGAAGATAATCATAATTGTGAAAAGAGTGATATTTTGAGCTCTCTCTACTATTTGTAAAGTGATTAAAAATGTGATTTCTTTTGTATCACAAAGAGTACATATATTGTATGGTACTCTGCAGCCTGCATTTATAATTATGAAGGAGTCACTTATTTTATTTTTTATTTTATGTGTGTATCATGAATTCTAATTGGTCTCAATAATAAAAACCCTGAGTCAGATATAGGGGCAAATGCTGGAAGATCAGACAAGTAAAGCAGTCAGCCAGCCACTAGTTCTTATCCCTCCAAATCCTTAGACAGAATGGGCGATCCTGTCTCTAGGAATCCTCAGACTGAATGCTATGAGGTCCTATCTCCTCCCAATTTATATTCTTCTCTACACCCAGCCATATCCCTTCCTTTTTCTACCTTCCTAGTGCTGGAATTAAAGGCATGTGACTCCCAAGTACTGGGATTAAAGGTGTGAGTCATCACTGCCTGGCTCTGTTTCTCTTTTTCTATGGATCAATTTTGTGTTGCCCAGGATGGCCTTTAACTAACAGAGATCCATCTGCCTTTGTTTCCTGAATGCTGGGACTAAAGGTGTGTGCCACCACTATGGCTAACTGGACTCTATAGCTAACTAGTGTGACTAGCTCCTCACTCTGATCTCCAGACAAGCTTTATTTGTTAGAACACAAACAAAATATCACCTCATATGTGGATGGATGTTTTACCTGAATCCACATCAGTATACTACTTGAATGCCTGGTGTCCACAGAGGCCAGAAGAGGGCATTGGATCCCCTGGAACTGGATTTACAGATAGTTATGATTACCATGTTGGTGCTAGTTATCAAACCTAGGTCCTCTCTAGGACCAGCAAGTGTTCTTAACTGCTAAGCCATCTCTCCCAACCCAGAGTGGTTCATCTTAAGTATCGGGTACTAGTGTGAAATTAAAAAAAAAAAAAAAAGTTTAATATAAGATCTTGAGCCATTTGAATTCTATTCTTAAACCATTGGTGTGATCAAGAACTTACTTATTAGAGATATCTTCAAATATCTGAAGTCAACAACTGTCAAGTCAAAAAAAAAAAAAAAAATCAGAGCAGTAGCACCTGCCTGTAAACCCAAGCACTTAGTGGAGGGGGGTGGGGTGGGAAAAGGGACAGAGGGGACCTGGGGCTAGGGATGGCTGGCTGTGGTCAAGCCAGTCTAGCTAAAATGGGAGCTCCAGGTTCAGTGAGGTGCAGAGTGATTGAGAGGGACACCCAGTGTTGGCCTCTGGCCTTTACACTCACATAGTCATTAGCAAGCCCATAAACATGTGCACATACATACACCACACCATACATGTATAAAAAGCAAGAGCGCAAAAGCAAATCATGGGGCTCTGAGTGATTGCATTGGTTTGACAGTCAGCATTTATTATGTGTTATGTGATATTCAACTTTAATTACCTCTCAGGGAACATCCCTTCATACTCTGCCTATGAAATGCAAGTTTGCCTGTATTCTTTTAGACAGGAATTTTATGCGTATAATCTACTAAAATCTGCTTTTATGTTTTACAGAATAATTAATATTGTTAAACATCATTACTGGTTGTTTCAAAAAAGAATTATGTGCAGTCTTTAATGTTTAAATTCGTTAGTATAAGAAAACTGAGCTATTTCTTACATCTAATTTATACCAAACTTTTATTTTAATCTTCTAGGAGCTTTCCAGTTGTGGATGGAATAAAAAAGAAAAATATAGTTCTGCACCAAATGCAGTTGCTTTCACAAGAAGATTTAATCATGTGAGTTCTTTCAGTTGGGTGAAGAGGGCGTGGCTGTGCCTGATTCTCCATACCCTGTGTGAAGCCAGAGGTTATGTCTAATGTTTCCTAGTATTGTCCTCCATCACCACCACTCCATTTTTAAGAGTCTCTCACTGAACTTGGAATATGGGTTGCCTGTACTGGCTGACCAGTAAGCCCCCTGAATCCTGCTGTCTCTGCAGACCCTCCCACCCTCACCCCAGCACTGCCTTCTCAGCATTTGACATGCATGCTTGAGATCCAAGTGCAGGTCTTCCTGTTTGTATAGCAAAGCACTTTACCCCTGAGCCATCCTCTGGACCTCCCCTTTATTACTATTATTATTATTATTATTAGTAGTAGTAGTAGTAGTAGTAGTAGTATCACAAATTCCAGTTGGTCTTAATAATAAAAACTCAGAGTCACATATTGGGGGGGGGGGGGCTCAGAGATCAGAGAGGCAAAACAGCCAGCCATTAGCTCTTATCTCTACCTCAGACTGAAAGGGCAATCCTGTCTCCAAAAGTTCTCAGACAGTGCTCAGACTGACTGCCTCAGACTGCAATGAGCTCCAGTCTCCTCCCACCTTATATTCCTCTCTGTTCAGTCATATCCCTTCCTGTCTCCACCTCCTTAGTGCTGGGATAAAAGGCTTGTCACTCCAAATGCTGGGATCACCTTTGTGTGAGCTTTGTTTCTCTTTTAGACTATCAATTTTGTATAGCCTAGGGTATCCTTGAACTAACAAAGATTGGTCTGCCTCTGTCTCCCAAGTACTGGTATTAAAAGTGTGTACCACCATTGCTTGGCCTCTATCACTAACTACTGTGGTTAGCTTTATACTCTGATCTTCAGGCAAGCTGTATTTGTTAGATCATAAACAAAATATCACCACAATTTTTTTTTTTTTTTGAGGTAGGGTCTTGTGTATTCAATCTAACCATGCTTGGTATGTAGCTGAAGATGACCTTGATCTCCCAATCCTGCTGCTTCTGCCTCTGAGTGCTGGGCTTGTAGACATGTGCCACCATGCCTAGCTTCTTTCTTTATTTTTATTGTTTGGTAGGTTGGTTTGGTTTGGTTTTCGAGGCAGGGCTTCTCTGTGTAGTCCTGCCTGTTGTAGAACTCACTCTGTAGACCAGGCTGGCCTTGAATTCAGAAATCCTCCTCCTCTGCCTCCTGAGTGCTGTGTTCAACGGTGTGCACCACCCCACCCAGCTCTCATTTTTTATTTTCATTTTCTGACTTCATAATTCTTACAGATATACCAGAAATAGTTGTAGTTAGTTTTTTCACTCTTTGCCCTTTGGGGGCCTGTCACCTAGCTATCAAACACACAGAGGAGACTTATTCTTATTTATGAATGCCCAGCCTTAGCTTGCCTTATTTCTAGCCAGCTTTTCTTAAATTATCCTGTCTACCCTTTGTCTCTGGGCTTTTAGCTTTCTCTGTTGTATATGCCTTTCTTTCCTTCTTACTCCAAGACTAACTCGGTGGCTGGGTTACTGGGTGGCTGGCCCCTGGCGTTGTCCTCTCCTCCTTTTCTCAATCCTCTCTCTTCTCTTTGCCTGACAGCCCCATCTGTGTTTTCTCCTGCCTAGCTATTAGCCAAGCTATTGGCTGTTCAGCTCTTCATTAGACCAATCAGGTGTTTTAGACAGGCAGAGTAACACAGCTTCACAGAGTAAACAAATGCAATATAAAAGAATGCAACACATCTTTGCATCATTAAATACCCCACTGCATAAACGAATATAACACTAATATTCCACAACAAATAATTGTATTTGTATAAACAAAATGTATAGCCATGCTTGCTTATCACCTTTGTAAAATGTGCCATCGCATAATATACAAGTTTTCCTATGCCCTTTTTCAATAATTATGGTTCTTGGAGGCATACATGTGGTGCAGGTATCTCTAATCCATAAATCATCGATTTTCATTGCTTCCTAGGCTAAATCCATCTACTCTTGATAATAGAATGTTTTCTTTATGTTTGCCTTTTTGAAGAGTGTTGCTGTGAACATTGAATCTTATGCTGCACGTGTGTAAAATCTCCAGAAAGTGACATCTGGCTGTCACTGTCTTTAGTTCTTGTATTTATATCACCTAAACTTGAATCCTTAACACTAGGTCTTTCTGGTTTTTAAATTTTGGTGTTTTGATTTTGTTTTTCAAAACAGGGTTTCTCTTTATAGCCCTGGCTGACCCAGAACTCACTCTGTAGACCAGGCTGGCCTCAAACTCAAAAGAGATCCGCCTGCCTCTGCCTCCTGAGTGCTGGGATTAAAGGCGCACACCGCCATGCCCCTCTCCCATTTGAGATTATTAGAAGGTGAATTATCATTTCATTCTTTTTATTCACCATTTGAAATGCTTGGTGTGGTGCTTTGGATGAAGCCAGCTCATGGGTTCACATGTTTGTATGCTTGGTCTCCTGCTAGTGGTCTATAGGGGAAGGGTTAGGAAGGTCTTGTTATAGGAGGTGTATCACTGGGAGTGGGCTTTGAGATTTCAAAAGCCCACACCAGGCCCAGTGTGTCTGTCCACTGCCTGAAGGTCAGGATGTAAAGCTCTCAGCTACTACTCCAGCACCATGTGTGTATGTTTCCTATCTTGATTATGGACCTACCCTCTAAAACTGTAAGCAAGCCCCCATTTCAGTACTTACTTTTAAGAGTTGTCATGGTCATGGTGTCTCTTCACAACAGTGAAACAGTGACTAAGACACTTGGGGTTGGTATTTTTTGTACCTGTAGTTTATTTACCTAGACACCCATTTTAAAGGAAGCATGAAAGGACTAAGGTTATCATCACCATCATCATCCTCACCATCACCATCTAGTAGTTTTAAAGATAATGAGTTGGTGTTCCTTCATCTTCAGATAGTAACCAGGTAGTTTTCTCTTTTGGCCTTGTTTCTCTCCCGCCCTTGGTTATCACACTGTCCTATTTTCAGCCAATAGGTGTGTTACAGCTGTCTCGTTCAAGTCTTAGGAAGAACTCACTGATACTTAGGTTCTCAGGACCAGTTTTTCATTCGCCTCTTCTGTAGTTTATCTGCATGTCCTTTCTCCCTACCCTATAGTCCAATCACTTGCTTTATCCTATGTACCAAACCACAGTTTTAAGAATAGTAATAGCTGAATATTCCTAATTTGAAAGTCCAAGCCTGAAGTACTCAAAAACCCCAAAATACACCACTGTGACATCACAAGTTGGCTTTTGTGCCTGACTTCATGTGATAGGTCATAGTAAGATGTAGGTGCATTCACAACTATTGAATAAAATTTTAGCTTTTTAGCTATGTGTTTAAGATGTATATGAAACCTAAGTGAATTTAGTGTTTAGACATGGATCTCATTCCCAAGACATCTCATGTTTGTACAAATACTCTAAACCTAAAAAATTATTTTGACTAAGGTGTGTATTCAGCCACTACCATGACTGTGGAAAACAATGGGTTTGCAGGCATGCGCTCTCTGTTCCTTATTGCCCATTTTGATAGCTGAGCTCTGTAGTGAGTGCATTGGGGTTGCAGAGTGCTTTTTATTTTTATCTTAGTTCTGTGAATAAGTATTTACAACTTACTCACACTTAAGTTGATGTCTATCATCATTGGACAGCTCATTGGACAACAATGCCTCAGTTCAGACATAAAGGCAAATTTGCTTGTGTTCTGCATAGGTGAAAACTGTCTTTATTGGATAAAAGATCCTGATTCCGTTTTCTTCCCTTGATTATTATTATTTTCTTTTCTGACTTAGAGTGTTTGTTGCTTTTGAAAAGTTGGATGATAGTCTTTTTTCTTTAAACATACTTTTCTCCTTTTGCTTAGATGACCAAAGGTGTTTTTAAAGTCTAATTGTATCAAACTGTTTCTTAGTCCTGGTCATTCTGTCAGTATCTTCAGAAATGACCAGCTTTAACTGGGTCCATTGTAGTCTTTTTAGCATAGGGTCACGGTGTGCTTGGATTTCTCGAGATGTAGCTCAGGGTTTCCAGGGAAAATATTCCAGCAATCAATGCAGACACTATGTGGTCTGTTGGGACCACTCTGGAAGTCAGATCCTGCTTTGCTAATAACCTTTTGATGAAAGCGACAAACAATTTGTATTTTAAAAACCATATTTGTCTTAAAATGTGTCTAACATTAATTTGAATTAAGTCATTGATTATGCACTTTGATTTGAATTGTTATATTTACTCGTGTTCCTATTTAAATATATTCAAATATATATTTTAATGACTTTGTGAAATATGTAATTTCCATTAACATAAATTCACAAAATACATGTAATTACACATATACACATTGACAGCTGTTCACGGGTAGAAGAAATACAGGTTTGACATCATGCGCTTTCACTGAGACTCTTAGCCATGGCTTATTTTGAGATTAAAGTTGAACCACCTCTAAATCCTTAGATTCTGTTTTTGCAGTACATGAGTTAAAACAAATGTTTATATAATTTTATAGGTGTGTGTGTGTTCATTTGTGTTTGAGTGAACACATGCAGTCTTGCACACCCGGAGGTCAGAGGACAGCTGTGGGTTAATCTCTACTTCCACCATGTGCTCTAGGGAACAGACTCCAATTGGTGCCTTGCTCTTGTAGTGGCAAGCCATCCCCAGCCTCTGGGTTTTTGTTTTTGTTTGTTTGTTTTAAATTAATGCTTCATTGAATTAGAAGATACCACAAAGATTTTAAAAGGAAGTCTTTAGATCTCATGGTATTTTCTTTTCATAAAAAAACCATAATCAAGGGCAGGAGAAAGTATTTGTTTTTGTTTTGTTTTTTCTTTTTCTGAGACAGGGTTTCTCTGTATTGCTTTGGAACTCGCTCTGTAGACCAGGCTGACCTTGAATTCACAGAGATCCACCTGTCTCTGCCTCCTGAGTGCTGGGTTTAAAGGCATGTGCCACCAACACCCCGAGAGAAAGTGTGTTTTAAAAATAATTGCAGGAAATACATCAAGTAGCATTTAATATTAATTTTAATCTTGGTAAATATTGCCTTTTGGTTATTTTTTAATTTTTCTTTTCAGGTAAGCTTTTGGGTTGTTAGAGAGATTCTCCATGCTCAAACATTGAAAATAAGAGCAGAAGTTTTGAGCCACTATATTAAAACTGCTAAGGCAAGTATGGCTTGGTCTTTAGCTCACCCATTCAGAAATGTTTTAAGTTGCTGTTTAGTGATTCTGGAAAATAAGACCCATTGAGTATGTTGAGTGCTTCTTTTCTCTATCTTTTCCTTTATTATTGGTCACCCCCATTTTATAGACAGGAGCTAGAGTACAGTAAATTATAGTATTTGTAGAATATTAGACTATGTTGAAGGTGATGGAGAAAGCAATGTAGGATTAAGTTTTAAGTTGCTGTTTAGTGATTCTGGAAAATAAGACCCATTGAGTATGTTGAGTGCTTCTTTTCTCTATCTTTTCCTTTATTATTGGTCACCCCCATTTTATAGACAGGAGCTAGAGTACAGTAAATTATAGTATTTGTAGAATATTAGACTATGTTGAAGGTGATGGGGAAAGCAATGTAGGATTAAGTTGAAGAATACATAGTGCTTTTTGTTACTTTTGGTTTTTATTTATTTACTTTTGATTATGAAGTAAACCACCCAGCTATATAGAAAATAAGACTTTGCAGTCTGGAGAGATATCTCGGTGGTTAAGAGCACTTACTGTTCTTCCAGAAGACCCAGGTTCCCTTCCTAGCACCCATTGGTGACTTGATGCCACCCTCTGACTTCCATGGGCACTGGCACTCGAGTGTTGCATAGGCATGCATGTATGCAAAACACTTATATATATAAAACATATACATAAACCTTAGGAAAAGACTTCATTTTTTCATATTTGAAGTTTTATTGAGGGGGAGGTAAGAACAGAGGAGAAGGTGGGGTAGGGTGACAGAAAAGATCCTGTCTGCACTCCGGAGAAACAATGGGGGAAAAGAGCAAAGACTTTATCTTTGAGGCAGTGCTGCAGTAGACTGTGCCGACTTTGAACTCGTGTCCCCTATCTTCAACTCCAAGTACTAAGATTGCAGGTGTGAGCCACAACACCCACCTAGACCTTAGTGTAAATGAATAGTACATATGATGCTAACAAGTGCACTGAAGAATTATTGAGAGGCAGAGATAATAAATAAAGTTGGAGATGCAACATGGATTTCAAGGGTAATCAGAATTTCAGAGAGAGAGCAGCAGGGTTTTCACAGGAAGCTACTGAGATCAACCTGTAACAACCCCAAGTGTGATGAAACATCCATGTTTACTCTGCATGACTCATATAGTAAATAGGCTTTACCTCACCTGTAGACTGAAAGATGGTGGAATAAAACTGAAGTGTTCTGCTTATAATTTAAGTTGGAATTCTTCTGCATTTTCCCTGAACATATAGAAACATTATTATTCTTATTCTAACATTCTGTGGCACTAGATGGCAGGATTAGCCTTCCATATATGTGGATCTTACAGAAATGTTTAAAAACATTCTTTGTGAAAAGTTAGTTATCTAAAGAAAGTAATGACTTTTCCCATGGATTCTGAATTTCTATTTTTTTCCCGTGATATCTTTGGTAGCTTTTTTTTATTTATTTAATTTGTATGTTTTTGCCCATATAATCTACCATTTTTCTTACCAAATAATTACATTTCTGTCCACACTCTTAATTAACTTATGACAACTTTTGCTTCTATTGCCACCCCCAATTCCCTAATCTTTTCCTTATTACTGTTAAATCACTATTCTGATACTCTGTCTTTTGTATTCAGGCTCAGATTGGTCTTTTCCTTTAATAACCTGTTTCTGTCAGTCTTCTCTAGAGAGACAGAACCAACAGCATTCTATGTAAACATGTATAAAATTCAATATAAAATGTAAGACAAATTTAGGATTGGCTCACATTATTGGTGGAGCTTGAATCTGAAAACATTAGGGCACACCCACAAACTGCAGACTCAGGCAGGAGTAGTGTCAGGAGTGTCAGGATGCATTTGCTTTTCCTTCTGGGTCCTCTGCATGTTTTGGCATATATCAAGTACTAAGGTGGCACTTAGTCCCTAGTGAACATTTAACATATACTCATTTAATGACTAGATTATACAATCTCCTGTGAAGTTTTCATTTTATTTGATTTCTTTGGATTTTCAATTAGATGCCCACCATAGGGCTTATCTGGTGGTTTGAGACAACTGTAAAATGACTTGTTTTTAGATACCACTTTTAGGGTAGAAATAAGACAAAATTCTGAGATCTTAGCTTCCAATGTAAAGTGGGTTCCTTGGGAAATTTGTGGAATCCACTGTTTGATGCATGCATACTATAAACAAAGGATTTTGGGTCTTGAACATGAGAAAACAGGATATGGTAGGCACACTAAAGACAGCAAATTTGAACTCTAGCCCTGGGAATCCAGCCTATGTAGACCCTTTCTTATGCCTTGGACCACAGAGCAGACAACCAGTAATGCCCTGTAAAGGATGCCCTGTAAAGGATGCATCTGCGTCCAGAACCCAGGGCATGACCATTATGATCATGCCAGTTAACCTTGACACCAAGCTGCTTCCAGAACCGAGGGCATGACCGTTGCAGGCATGCCAGTTAAGCTTGACACCAATCCATAACTTCAGCTTTGAAAATATATTGCCCATGTAGAGCTGGATTTATTCCCAGAGTGTGGGTGAAAATGCCAAGGTAGAACATAGTAGACATTATATTGTGGGCCAAAAATAATTTACTGGGCACCCTAGAAGACAGTTCTCAACAGTGACAGTGATAAATATTGGTATTCTACCAACTGCCTAAATTGTGTTAATCTACATTTTCCTACATTTATTTTCTTTAAAATGATAATCCTTCTCTCCCTTTTTATTAAATCTTCAGAAACTGTATGAACTTAACAACCTTCATGCACTTATGGCTGTGGTTTCTGGCTTACAGAGTGCACCAATTTTCAGATTGACTAAGACATGGGCGGTGAGTAACCCTCCCTTGTTTAATGAAAAATTAGACTTCTGTGCAAAGTAAAGGTTTTATTAGTTTCTTTTGAGTATTATGGTAGTAGATAAGAATTCTTAAATGTCTTACACTTTGTTATTTGAAATCTACATTTAAGACTCCTTAAACATTGCAATGAGCTTAGAAGGAAATTTGTGGTAGACTGAGGTGGATGCTTGGGTTTTGCACTTTAGAGAATCATTTTGAATGCTTCTTTAGGTGTCTCTTATGACATCCTGTGTCATACTCACCTGATAATTTGTATTTAATGGTGTACAATTCATACTTTTGGTAAGTTTCAGGATCTGAATCACAACTTTTAAATTTTTTTTATTAATTTCAACTTCCATTATTTTTAGCCACAGACCTTAAGGTTGTAGAAAAATCACATGGTAACCGTGGAATTATATGATATAGCTGATGTTCCTTTCAACCGCTATCATATTGGCTCCTATTACTTTAACAAGACTAGGGTATGATTTTTGGCATTGGCCAGTGTGTTTTTATCTTTGAGTGCCTAGGTTTTCTTTCTTCTTTCCCTTTCCTTTTTATAGTTTTATTATGACACTAAAGCCTCCCACAAGTGACTTCTCCAAACCACTTTTGATTTTTTTTTACTTTTTGAGTCAATCAATGTCTTGCTATGTCATCCAGGATGGCCTTGAACTTGGGTCTTTCTGCCTTAGCCTATCACGTAGCTGGAGTTAAAAGCTGGTTATACCAGCTTCTATGCTGGGTGAGTGAGTGAGTGAGTGAGTGAGTGAGTGTGTGTGTGTGTGTGTGTGTGTGTGTGTGTGTGTGTGTATGTGTCTGTGTCTGTCTCTGTCTGTCTTATTGTGTTTCTGTGTGTATGTCTGTGTGTCTATTACTACATTTAGCAAACGCTTATAACAATTAGTAAAATGACAGTGTGTGTACAAGCTTGCTTGCCCAAGTTCATTTGTTAATGCATATGTTTTTGGAAACCAGAGGACAGCCTCGAGTGTCATTCCTCAGAAGCTGTCTACCCTCTTTTTGAGACAGGGACTTTTCATTGGCCTGGAAGTCACCAGTTAGGCTCTGTGGCTCCCGGGATTCTCCCACCCGCACCCCTACCCCCACCCCCCAGGACTGGGATTGTTTTTCAATGTGAGTACTTTACTAAAAGAGCTCTTTCTCCCTAGTCCCTCACTTTATTCATCATTAATAAAGAAGATGCTGCTCTTGATTCCCTGGTATATAAAAGATTTTATATGAAAACTATCGAGTTTTTATATTGGAAAATTATTAGTGTAGAAGAGTTTGTAATTTTTATTTTTTCATTATAAATACCTGATGAAGGATTTTCCTGTTTTAAAAGTTCTTTTTAATTATTATGGCATCATTCATTAAAATCTGAATTCCATGGAGGGGGCTGGAAATGACCACAAGCACACAGTTATGAGTTCTGTCTTTACAATTTCGAGGGGCAGCATTATACTTTGATTTATGATGTGATTTAGAAGTGGGATATATTCCCTTGAAGTTGTTGTTTTCCTTGAAAATATTTTGTTGCCTTCATCTAATTCTGTGTTTATTTGCTGTTTTTTGGGGGGGTTTTTGTTTTTGTTTTTTTGAGAGGGGGGATATTGGTTAACAGTTGTACTAATCTGTAATAAACTTAATAAACTTTAAAAAATTGCATTCCAGTGAGTGATATAGATCCCATCCTTACACACCTGATAGTCTACTGGAGAAAGATAATCTGTAATAAGTAAATTGTATAGTAAGAAATCACAGAAGAAAAGTAGGATGAAATGGAAAGTAGGGCAGCACTGTTCTTTCATAATATGAGAAGAGGCTATCTCATAGTGGGATGGTGTCAGCTTTCCAACACTAGCTACCTAAGACAGTCAAAGGGAATGTCATGGATAGGAGAAGCAAGTGTTGTAGGAAAACAGATCACCTTTGCAAAACATTTTTTATAGTACAAGGAGAACTTTTGAGATGACCATTGGATCTGACAGTTGAAGATGATTGGTGATGTTGGCAAGAGTGGTGTTGGTGTGGTGGGGTGAAAAACTGATTGGATTTGAGAGAGATGGCAAAGGACTAGGTCAGTAAGTATAGACTGTGCCTTTGAGAAAGTTTGCTGTAGAAGGTTGAGGACCTGGCAGTATGGAGAGAGGTAGGCATATCCTTTTTTTATTTTGGAGGTGGGATCGTGACCAATAAGTTCTGTGCAGGTCAGAATGATGTAGTAGAATCGAGGAGATGGTGAGAAAAGAGTAATTTGAGATCTAAGGTGCAAACATAGTAGCTATAGGTAATAATCTTATATATTTGGAATTTGCTGAGAAAATCCATCCAAAATGTTCTAACTTAGGGTCATATAATATGTATGTATGTGCATGTATATATTCCTTAAATACATGAAATTTTAGCATTTTGTGCCAGTACTAGTAGGATAAAGATCAGCTATAAAATTTATAAGAAAATGCTAGGTTTAAGAAGGCAGAATATACCTGCAGGAGAAAGTAGAGTTTGAAAACATTAGCCTTTGCCTTCACATAAGATTGTTGTATAATTTTGGCAATGTAATAGCAGGTGTGTGTGTGTGTGTGTGTGTGTGTGTGTGTGTGTGTGTGTGTGTGTGTGTATCAAACTGTGATATATACCAAGAGTAAAACCCGGAAACAGGTCTTTGCTTTGGATCCCCGACATAGGACAGGTGAAGTATTATAAATGGGTGTCTTAGTGTTTCTATTATTGTGATAAAACACTATGGCCAGAAGTAACTTGAGGAGGAAAGCGTGTATTTCATCCTACATCTCCCAGGTCACACTCCATCACTGAGGTAAGTCAGGGCAGGAAACTAAGGCAGGAAGCTCGAGGAAGGCACTGAGGCTGAGGCCTTGGAGGAGCACTGTTTACCGCTTGCTCGGCTTGTTTCCCTAACAACTGAGGACTGCCTGCCACATCCCACTTCACCCAGGGTGAGTTAGGTCTACCAGCATTGATCATTAATCAAGAAAATGTACCAAAGTCTTGCCTGTGGGCCAGAAAAGACTAGTGGTTTGGGTGTCAAAGTGTCCATTAAAATAACCAGTCTTTGAGACCCTGAGAAACAGAGACGTGTGGAAGTGGGAGGGCTGAAAGCATTAGTACATCTACTTGCTAACCCTGTGATTGACTCTCCTTCTCTGACATCACTACTAAAATACACAAACTTTTTTGTTAGCATTCTAGCAGAATTAGGTAACAATTTTGTAAGTGAAATGTTTGCATGCCATGCAAGGAGACAATATTTTAACATGTAATAAAGTCAAGCCTTACTGTGTTGTGGCAAAATCCTAACTTAAGAGGTTTAAAACCAAAGTCTTTAGGATGCTAACAGAACAAAACAAACACCTGGGAGCTTTTGGTTTGTATCATGGACACTAACCTCACTTGTCTTTTACCATCCTTGATTATTTGTAGTAATCTCAAAGGGAAAGTAATATACACTGTCTGTTCAAGCCATCTGAAACCAGTTTTTGATAACTCTCTATATAATAAAACTGCTTGTCAAGAAGAAAATTTGTTAACAGAAGTCAAAAATACAGGCAGTGGGAGGCTTCCCAGCCGTTGTTAAGACCAGCCACAACTGGACTTGTCAAGAAAAGTTGTTACTTATATCACTTAAAATTGAGTGTTTCTTAGTGATTGTTTTTATGGTGAGAGCTTAAACTTTTCTGGGATGCAGCTTAAATACCGGGGTAATTATTTGGAGTGCTTTCTGAGATACAGCAGGGTTTGGAGAGAGAGAGGGGAAGGTCCTTGCATGGAACTTCCACCAGAACATTGTGAAGGAATTCTATTGAAACAGTCAATTAAAGTACTTGTGCATTTGAGATGAATGAATACACATAATTTAAGTTGTCAAAAACAATAAAATTGCTTAATTATATAAATTAGTGAAGATAATGTGTTACAGTTTACCACTTAGTAAGTTCATTTATGTGCATATAAAGGTGATTTTATAAATACTCTGAGTTATTAATGTATGTGTCTGATTTTGTTTTATTTATATCCTACCATAATGTAATTAAGGAAAGTGTAACTTTGAAGTTAAAGTCCAGATTTGTGGTAAATACAGCTTCCATTCAGTTCTTTGCTAAAGCAAGATGGAACTTGTAAGTAACTTAGGCTTTTCTGATTGTTTTTTAGTTATTAAGTCGAAAAGACAAAACTACATTTGAAAAACTGGAATATGTAATGAGTAAAGAAGATAACTACAAAAGACTCAGAGACTATATAAGCAGCTTAAAGATGACACCTTGTATTCCTTACTTAGGTGAGTTACATCACTGTGTTTGTTGTTCCTAATTGTTGCTCTTCCTGAATCAGTCATTTTTATGAAACACAAGAAATTTTTTAAAGTGTGTGTGTAAGATTTCTAAGCTTAAAAAAATCAGGTAAAGAAGTTTTTAACGTATTGCCTGAAATGCTTTTCATATTAAATTAGCCCATCAGATTTTCCATAGAGTGTAACATTGACTTAGGAATGGGCCATGGGTAAATGATATGTTTTAGTTATTTTAGTAATGCTTTTAGTGACTGAAACAATGCCTTGTAGTGAACCTAATATAGTAACTAAAGACATTGATCCACGCTATTATGTAGTACAGGGTTGGTGTGAGTTCTGAAGATTGGTTTCAATCAATTATCAGTATTACTGTTTGCCTAGATGAATTGTGTTGTTTGACTGTGAAAGTTAAGGTTAGTGTATGATAATTCTGTAATTATTACTTGACTAAGAACTTAAATCTTTATATAAAATCTTACAGTGTTAAAAAGTTCTGAAAACTATTTAATAACATTATAGCTTTTTTTTTTCAACCATGCATGAGTAATGTTTTGTTGACTATCTGAGTCAGAGTTTTAAAAGGCCCTGAATATGCTATCCTTTTAAATTTGTATGTAATTTAAAGGTAGAGGACATGGTATAGATGATACATATCCAAGTACAGCAAATCAAGTTGGTTTGACTTTGTTGAAATTCATCAGATGATAAGCATTTGTTTCTTATCCTGCTGCCCATCTGCTATCTTTTCAGTAGTTATCTACAGTAGACTCAAAGAGAGCAATTTGTGAGAGTAATTACAAGTGTGTCATTTGTTTTGGTATTTCAATGTCACCTTTGAAGTCTTTACATTATTAGTGACTAAATGGCAGGCTAAAAAGCTGGTACATAAACTTCCATCTGTCATAGAGCATTAGCTTAGTGCACAGAGAAAACTTGACTTTTAACATTATGAGCCGCAGAATGGTGGTGGCTCTTGCTTTTTATCCCAGTGCTTGGAAGGCAGAGGCAGGTGGATCTCTGTGAGTTTGAGGCCAGCCTGGTCTACAAAGCTAATTCCAGGACAGCTTGGGCTGTTACACAGAGAAACCCTGTCTCAGAAAACCAAAAAAGAGGGAGAGAACATTGTGGTGTGTCCTAGGGCTCCTGCAGTAGTACAAAGATATATTCACATCTATTGAAGGCATAGTAACCTAAAAGTGTAGTGTAGTTAATGGCCACTACATTTTCATTTTAGGTCGTAGTTTAGCTGTGCCCATATTTAGAAATGTAATTTTGGGAAAAGAAAGAATAAAGAAGTTTTTAAAACTTTTGTCCTTAATAGACAAGATCTCCTGAGTAAATTGGGCTCATGAGAGTCAGAGGGGAAGGTGAAAGAGGAGAGGGAGGAGGGAAAGGGAGTGATGGGGGGGTGTATAGCTCAATTTAAAAAAAAAAAATCTGTTGTTCTTGTGCTCTGTAAGAGCACCAATAAGCCTTTGTTGTATAGGCTCATTGGACCCAGAATTGGTGACCCTTGGTTCTTAAAGGGCTTTTCTATGCTGAGCTTTCCATTTATTTCATTCTTCTATACTTAGATTTCAATCTATGCTGAGCTTTCAATTTATTTCAATCTTCTATACTTAGATTTCAATCTGTTTCCTTTTAAGTCAGGTGATGTCCTTACTTCACCTACTTCAAAATTGAGAACCAGGCACCTAGAGGAAGAAATTCGACTTTCAGTCCTCTAAGAATCATTTATAACATATCCACAGTCTAATGGTTCTATTTAGCATGCTGCTGTTATGCCTGCTACTCTCTAACTCAAAAAATTTACTGATTATGTGATTGCCTTCTTACCGAATTGCTTTTCTATATTAAATGCCATAATTTATCTTCTTGGAAAGGTTAATGTTTTAAATTAGGATTGAGAAAATGACAAGTGTATCATGATACTATGATTTCTAGTCCAGGGATCTTTGTTCTACATTTTTTCATGTAGCACTTGGTACAGAAGTTTAAGCTGTGTGTGCATGTACACTTGTGTGTGGACAGAGGCGTGTGTGTTCATGAACATCTATGTGTATGCAGAGAAAAAGAAAGTAAGCTGTTGAGTAGAATCTGGAAAGGTTCTCTGTTGGAGACTGTCCCTTCTCTCCCCAGCCTTGGAACCTGAAGCAGACAAGGCAGAACTCTGATGTGAAGATGTTAACTTGCAGAAAATACTAGAACAATTACCTTTACTGTATGTTCTGGTTGGTCTCAAATGACCCCAGGCTCACTTTCTTTTTATCAGTTCTTGTGTCCTGGAGTCTTACTTTTCACTGTCACCATGTATTTTACTTTACCTGAGCAGAAGGAACCATGTGTTGCTTTCTATTGCTCAGCATGCTCTTGTCCTCTCTTCACCTACTTGGCAGTGTCCCATAAGCTTTCTTCTGTGTACTTCTCAGACTTCATCTTAATTTTGTGATTAAGGTGCTAATTCCTTCTGCTCTTGGAGATTTTTCTCTGGCTCTCTTGTCCCACCCCCTAAACTTCTGGGCTTTGTTTCATTGGCTGCCCTTTCTCTTACATATGTAGTCATATAAAGATGTCTGTCTACATTTTTTATTCTGTACTCTGAGTATAGTGGAATGACCTCACTCAGGTTTGACATATTATTTAATAAACTAAGCTCTAGGCTTGCCTATATGTCAGTCTACTTAATTTTTAGACATTGAAGTACCAAATCAGTTGACTTGTGATACTTACATTGACTTCTAGTTGAACATGTGTTTATGTGAGCTCTTCCCCCTTCCTGCAGACCTAATCCCCATCTCATCTTCTATTTTAGTTCATCACTAATCTCATCTCTATTCCAGTATATACCTTTGAACATTATAAAAGGAAGCACCTTAGTAGATTTTTTGTTTTGTTTAGACAGGTCTCACCATGTATCTCTGGCTGGTGTGGAACCCACAGAAAGCTTTCTGCTTCTGCTTGATATTAATGGTGTGTACCACCACACCCTACAAGAAGATACTTGTTTATTAAACTATTTTCACAATCCCTTTCTGGCTTTTCCCATTGTTCAGGAGTGTTGTTTTACTTCTCTTTGAGTATAATAATGTACTTGTGTAGAATATTTGCATGACTCAGCTCTACAGCCTACAATGTTCTTTTGGTGCTTCAGCTGACACGAGCATTTGCTCAGCCCTGTGCTTGGTGCTAAATGCATAAAAAGGAATAAGGTGAACTTTGTCCCTACCTTGTGGATTTAATAGGACATTTCATCTCCTCCCCCTCCTCTGCATCTCATATAATGTAGGAAAATGAGATGCATGTGTCTAAGAATTAAAAACCAAAAGAAAGTTGGCTATAGTGATTCATACATATAATCTGAGCAGTAAGGAGGCGGAGACAGGAGGACATGAGTTACAGAGCAAGGCCTGCCTCTTTAAAAAAAAAGAAGAAGAAGAAGAAGAAGTTGGGGATTGGTAAAGAATTTAGGGTGATTCTGTTGAGATCATGCATTCCAATAACTATATGATTCTGTGTGTTGGTAGTTCTCATGTGGTTATCCTTACTCTGTTCAGTGAAAAACATCTTTTCTAGAATTAGATGATGAGGGACCATTTGGCATAATAAGTACTTGGTAGACTTGACAAAAGAAACTAGTCACATAAGTAATTATTACTCGATTTAGTTTCCAGCTTGAAAATTGTTCTTTCCCTGAACTGACAGGTTTGTTTAGTAGCAAACCTTTTGGGTAAATGTAATTGTTAAAGCATGTGTATTTTTTTAAAGTTGGTGTGTGTGTGCACACTCTGCTTGAGTATATATGCATGTGTGTGCATAATGCTGTCAGATCCCTTGGAGCTACAGTTACATTTTCAGATGACCAACTTGTCACATAGATGCTGGCATCCAAACTCCCTTCCTCAGGATTGCACAGCAAGCACTCTTAACCATTGAGCTGCCTCTCCAGCCATTATACTTGGTTTCCTTAAGAAAATATGAAGTAAACCTCATGATTTATTGACTACTTAGTTTACATTATAGGCAAATGGTTCTCTTTTTTTTTCTGATTTTTAGTACCAAAATGTGTTGAAGAAGGAAGATTTGTTGCTAATTTGCATCCTTTACTGACTTTTTCTTATTTTATTTTCATTTGAAATTAATTAGGTCTTGTATTTTCAGAATTTAATTTTAGAATTCCTTGATTTTAGAATCCTGATCTGTGCATGTTCCAAAACCACGAGCTCTTGTAAGTCTGTGCATTTGATGGGGCAGGATTCAGCTAGCATTCACCTCACTGTTCTTTCATACTCATAATGCTTTCCTTTGCCCCTTTTGTCTGTAGATGTTCTTAGAAAAAGGATGTAATCAGCTAAAGGGGCTATAGTGCATAGAGAAAGGGCAATGGCCAAACAGCTGCTTCATAACAGAGCTGTTCTGAACTACTAGTATTTTCACTCTGACAATAATCATGAAGGTCTGTCAGTGGTTCAGCAGGCATAGTCCTGCCACACAGTTCTGATAGCCAGTTCACTCTCCAGAACCCATGTCAAGGTGCAGAAGAGAACCACATCCTGACTTCTATAGGCACGAGTGACACCCACACCATGCACACACACTAATAATGCATTTTTAAAAGTAAAACACATTAAAAGTTAGTAATGAAAACCAACCATGCATTGTAAATATTTTTCTAAAGGGGTGTTAGGGATTTATATAGTAGTGCAATTCTTTCATATTGCCAGAAGTATCAGTAATTCAATGTGCATCAAATCTCAGGAAGTAGAAATATTTTCTTGGCACCCACTCGTCCTCTCTTGAAATTAAATGGTCTCTTCTGTTGATTTGCATTCAAGCAAAAAGTGGTCAGCTTGGACAGTATAGTCAAAAACTCTTAAACAAGGATGCACTTTGTCTAAAGAGGAATAGTTTGGCAAATGTCAAGGAAAATTTTTGTTTTATGTAAGTTATTGCTTTAAATCTGAAAACCATTAGCAGCCTTCATCTGTCCT